ATCGTTACCAAGTCGTACCTTACCAAAGTCCCCAATATTTAGATTCTTCATCATCTTCATGTCGTGTGTGGCATGAACAGATGTACGAGAATCCATCACCCAGGAATCTATATTACTCTCTACGCTACAGATTAATACATCATCACTATTGTCTGAGCAGCTTTCTGTAGTATTCACTTCCTTTTTACCATTCGGACACTGACTTTTAAAATGTCCTGTCTGTTTGCAATTCCAACAGACAATTCCTTCACGATGTTTGGACTGGCTCTTGCCTCTACCACGGTTGCTTGTTCTTACATTCCTTCTTCCTCTACCTTCAGTACTCAACAGTGCACTAGAAAAATCCCCTGAACTTCTGCATCTAATGTCTTCACCTAGAATCATGTCCCGAATTCCTTCAAAAGTAAACTTAGTAGTACGAGATGCACTACTAACTGCATTCACTGTTCCAGACCATCTGTCAGGCAAATAAGATAAAAGCAGCAACGCCTGAAGTTAATCATCAAACTTAATTCCAACTGATCCTAATCGAGTTATGACTGAATTAAACTAGTTGATGTGAATGGTAACTGAAACACCCTCCCTCATTCTGGTGTTAACCAAGTGTCTGATCAAAAACACCTTGTTCAATGCTGAGGGTTTCTCGTACATATTCGACAAAGCTATCATTAACCCATGCGTAGTCGTTTCATTGACTATGTCGAAAGCAACACTCTTCGCCAATGACAACCTAACCACTCCTAAAGATTTCCTGTCCAAAATCGCCCAATCTACATCACTCATCTTTTCTGGCTTTTCTCCCGATAACGTTTGGTATAAGTCTTTCTAAAAAGAACATCCTCGATTTGCATCTTCCAAAACCCAAAATCACTTCCATCAAACTTTTCAATCTTTATCTTTTCATCTGCCATTATTTCCATATACTGCTGAAAAACTAATCTGAGATTGAAAAAACCAATAACGAACTAACCTTGGCAACGACTATTCGGAACTCTAGCGGCAGCTAAACAAAACCCTGGCAGTAGCTACTGTTTATAGCGGCGGCTTGGTTACTATTCACAAGACAGTATAGACCATATACAACAGCGGAAACTATGACAGTGGCGGAATTAATCATCAAACCATTCGAAACCCTAATCTTCAATTTGAACCAGATCTCCACGAACCCCAAAGACGACGTCAACGATCAGGAGCCTAAGGCTCCTATACTAGTTGTTGGGGCATCTTAGAATACTGAATAGCAAACCACAAACAAACAAGAACACATAGAAAACAGAAATCAAAATAGAGAAAAACGTATTACAATATTTATAGTGGTTTAGTCGGCTGACCTAATCGACTTTGCAACTAGGGTTTTTATTATCCAGGTGCTCATAGAATTACAAGTACAGAGATCGCTTTTTGTGAAGACTAAACTAGGGTTAAAAACTTAATTCTCAAGTTAGGCCCAAGCCCACATATAGAATTAGGGCCGACTAAATTAAAAATCTAATTTACTGCCATATAGGTCAAACCAAGACTAGGGCCGACTGCCCTTCTTGGTTGAGCCTCCACACTTAATTCGCCCAACAAAGCCCAACAAATTCCAACTGGTTAGACACCCTACAAACTACAAAAAAACCTAATGAACAAAGTTCCTAGAGTGAATATTGCGAAATCAAACAGTTTTACAAATCCACTTCTTGCCACCTAAACAATTTCTTCACTTGACAAAGATAGTGACATTAAGCTTGTAAAGAGACAGACTACCAAGATTAGGACATAAAAAGGAATTGCAAAACACATAAAGGAGGAAGCATGATTTAGAAAAGTATGCCAAAGATGGTAAGGTACGACACAAAAAGAGAAAGAACAAGAGAACGAAGAAAGAAATGGGTGGCTGACCCGACCAGTGCAATGAAAAAAGATGGAAAAGGATAAAAACCCAATGAAAAAGAGTTGAAAATCTTCTTCCAATCAAACACACCGAGAGTGGACTGTACTATATTCAATATTCACCATTTTGAATAAAGTGAAATCAACCAATAGTCATTTTTCTGAAAAGAAAAAGAAAGAAAAGAAGTGCAGTTTACTTGAAGCCTAGGTAGTTTTCAGGTGGGTGGCAGTGAAACACGTGTATACCCACCTGGCTACCTCTCAAGAAGAAAACAAATCAAGTAATCAATAAAGAGTTCAAGATAAATTATAGTATCAGTCAAGGGGACCAGAATAAATCAGATTTCTTTAAGTAGAACGTTGTATCAAGGATTCAACTTTCAAGATTAGCATGATACTAGGATTATTTGATTGTTGTTTATCTTTTACCAAGTTTGGAGTCTTGTATTATGCTATACACAAGGGCCCTCATTTTAGAAGAGTTGTTACTTTTGGGGAATTTTCAGCTTTGTTGATGGGGCAAGAACCTTTTGCTGGAGATTGGAGGGTTCCTTTAAAGCTTTTGGAGAGTTATTTATTGAGCGTTTTGTTCTATCTTTCCTTTCCACGCCTTAGTGCATGGGAACTCAACAGAAGTACCGTCAACGATGTCCCTGATGTCGTCGCTCAGTAGTGAAAATGAATCAGAAACAATATTGTTCTCACATAACATTTAAAAGCACTCTGGGAGGATGGTAAATATGATATCTCTCTGATTATATATTTGCATCAAATAGCATGTAATTTCTTCCATGTGTTGCGAATGAAATAAAAAGACAATATGTTACTCTATTTACAAATATGTTAACGTGTAATAGTAATATATACTTGAATTACTAAGGTCTCCAACCAGCCTCCAGCCTTGATCAATGTACTCCACCACCTCTTTACAATCCCATGGGACTCTGCTCTTTTGGCCTTTATACATTGTATTTCTCTCCCATCAGCGGTTGCCGACTATAGGAAATTATGGAAGGCCTCTAGTTGTTGGCTGGATGGGTTACTTTGTTTTTTGAGATGCGCTTCTTCCGCTTTCTCTAGCTCATTTGGCCTTGAATCATTTATCCTCTTTCTCTTTTTATATACATGGCCAGTGTAGGGGGTTTTCAACATAATACTTCGTTTCTTCTTTCAGCGGCCTCGACCCAAATCCTGGATGTTAAAAGAAAGATGCCATGGATAAATAAATTCAATAAAACTTAACCTACTACGTACCTTTACAACAACTAGTGGCGGAGTTGATAACTCGGGTTTGGGTTAGTACTTTTTATCCAATTTTGGGCATTTTTTAATATTTTTGGAGTTTAATTTTTAGTAGTTTAGCTTAGTTTTATTTTAATTCTCATTTTTATAATCTTTATTCTTTTTCTCACAAATAGTAGATTTTTAGTCATTTTTTTTACATCTTATTGTTTTCATTTTATTTTTCCTAACCCAAGTTATTAGATATCTTATTTTTTGGAGAAAAATGTAGCAAAAAGGCCAAAGTGCAGTTCAAGTTTGAAAAGAGGAGATTGAATTTGGGCCGGAGCCCAAACCCAACATTAAAGAATCAGCCCAAAACCTTACCTCCCTCCACTTTACTTTTAGGGTGTGTTTGGATTGGGGTAGGTAAAGTTTTATTAGGTAGGTAATTGTAGGTAATTGTAGGTAGGTAATTAAAGGTAGGTAAAGTAAGGTAATGAGTTGAAAATTTGTGTTTGGATATTTACTAGGTAATGTGAGGTAAGATAAATAATAAAATTACTTAAATATCCTTATACTTGTTTTTCTTTATTTGGTTAATATTTTGACAATTATTTATAAGGTAAATGTAATAAATTATTTTTGCATCAATTTCAAACATTTTTTTATTTAATTTATTAGAAAAGTTTTTAAATTTTAAATAAAAAATTTCGAAATTAAATGAATACTTTAAGACATTAAAAAAACCACTACAACAAACATGAAAAAAAAGAAGAAAAAAACCACCATAAAGAACACGAAAAAAACATACACACACAAAATAGAAAGAAAAAGGAAAAGAAAGCAGAAGCTTAAGCAAAAACAAATAAAGAAAAAATGGAACAAAACCAGCAAAAAGTNTTTGCATCAATTTCAAACATTTTTTTATTTAATTTATTAGAAAAGTTTTTAAATTTTAAATAAAAAATTTCGAAATTAAATGAATACTTTAAGACATTAAAAAAACCACTACAACAAACATGAAAAAAAAGAAGAAAAAAACCACCATAAAGAACACGAAAAAAACATACACACACAAAATAGAAAGAAAAAGGAAAAGAAAGCAGAAGCTTAAGCAAAAACAAATAAAGAAAAAATGGAACAAAACCAGCAAAAAGTCAAGGGCACAAAGAAAGCTGAAAAAAGAGAAAAAAAACCTAAAAAAAATTACTCCGTAGAAAGAAACTTGCGTCAAATCTGGGAGAATCGCACAGGGGAGCTACGTTTCGTCCGGCTGGAGGCGAAGCAGAGGAGGGGCAGATATGGAAAATGTTGGATTGCGAAGCGATGACCTGGGTTGATCGCGGAAAACGCGGTAGCCAAATTTACACTGAGGTGTTAAGAGGTAAGGTTACCTCCATTCACCTCCTCTTATCTAATTCATTTTTTTCTCCCAAACAAGGTAGGGTGTAAATCTAACCTCAACCTACCTCCCCTACCTCAAACCAAACACGCTGTTACTTTCAGGCAAGAAAAAAAAGAAGTCAAAGAGCAGCGGTTCTTCCTCTTCGTAGATTGCAGCGCGCATAACTCCTCCAACGTTCGGCTCCATCAAATTCGCGACATTCAATTCTCAACGGGAAGTAATTCAACGGTAAATTGCTCCTTCTTGCTATAAATTAGAGCAACATCAACTCAAGAGCGCAGAGGGGGGGGGGGAACACACGAGAATAAAGCAGCGGCCAAGCCGCTGCTATGGCGGAATCCGGCGGACATCTCTGGCGCGGCGGCGGACGGCCGGCAGACGCGTACCGGCGGCGGAATCATCTCCGGCGAGCGGTCGGCAGTAGCTCTGGGCAGAGGTTAGGCTGTTCCTTCAAGCTCCAATTCCTCAATTTTCTTCATCTTCTTCAACAATTGGTAACCCTATATGTTATTTCTTCAATTTTTTCTCCAATTCTTTGTAAAGTGTTGATTTTAGTTTAATTTTTACATTTTTTTATTTGTGAGCTTGTTCCAAAAATTCCAAAAATGGTTGGTGTTCTTTATGGGTTTTTTATGTTTATATTAAATCCCTTATGAATGAGAATTGATTCAACTAGTTTTTCTTCAATTATTGAGCAAGTTGTTGTTGAATTGGTTGAATTGCATAATTTGATTTCATAAGTAGGCTGATATGTGGAATTCGGTTTTTGTTGAACCTATTTTAGCTCCATAAGGTAGTTAAATGAACTCCGAATTCATACGTGAATCTCTTTTGTGCTTGTATTCGTTGATTTTAAGAATTTTGGACTTCTTAGCCCCATAAGATGATTCATTTTTCTAAGAATTCGTTATTGAGTGATTGTGTATTTTTCGTGTGTTCGTTTGTTATTTTCATTAATTTGAGGTTGTTTAAGCTCAAAAACGATTCTCAATTTATTGAAAATATGTTGTGTTCATTTATGTGAATAGAAAAAACGTCATTGGTTTGAGAAGTTCAGGGAAATCTGTGAAATGTGCTCATCATTAGGAGAAAAAGTTTGTTAAAATACATAAGGTATTGGCGGTTTGTGAATAGATTATGTATGAGAGTTGAATGCATAATAGATTCTCTCTTTTATAAACTTTTTCTATAGTGGAAGTATGTTCTCATGCTTGAATAGAGAGTTGGGGTTCTAAGGTATATTTCAAAACGGGCCTTTGAATTGCATGACTCCGGGCCGTGTGGAGAGTTGACAATCCTCCATATCGTGGTTAAGGAAATGAATCGACTCGGCCTTTGATTGATTTTTT